ACTCGAAGACATTTCTAGGGGGTGAGACCGAGAATCCCAGCTCTTTTCGATATAATGACCATCCTAGTGTATATATGTGAGAGATGTTTTTTTGTCAAGCAGCATAACCTAACCTACATAACTGAATTCCGAGTCATAAGTATAAAACAGTAGGTTTGTACTTTTCCTTAATTTGGGCGCACACAGCAGTTGCCACATTAACCAACCGAACAAAACGAAAATCCCTGAAAAACAGTTCTTCGACCTCGTCAATACCTCTATATACAACAGTAAACAGTCAACTAAACATTATGGTTTTGCCTACAGTATACTCATAAATATTTGCACGACATTGAATGTTGAAAGTCGCAAGGCCCTAGTTCGCCTTATTCGCATAACTGAAGTTGTGTTTAGCAGCTGGATAAATAAGATTGCGCGCGTAAACACATAGCTTGCTTTCTCCTGAGGAAACTTAAAATTTTAAACTAAATTTTCATTGCCAAATATGTACGTATATATACATATATGTATGTATATTAAACATATATACAACATCTTGTGGATTCATATAGTTTTCTATAGTAAAAAAGGCGTGAAAGTGCGTGCGAGTGTGTGCTATTGCGTTTTACACATCTTACCGTGCTATAAAAGGCTTTCTCATATGTATATGAAACTCTTTAGTTAATGCACATTCTTACCAACCGATCCATTAGCTGTCTGAACAAAATGAAACTTCAAGTTTTTTTATTTGCCTGTGTGGCCTTTTGTCTATTATTTGAATTTGCGCAATCACAAGCTACTTCTCCGAGTAGCCCGACATTAACCGCTCCATCTACTCCCACTGCAACTGCACCGACCAGCGCAACCAATACCTCAACCAGTACCTCAACCACAACAACAACAGCAAGTACATCTACACGAAGGGGACGAAGGACTACAACTACAAGGAGGTATAGGATGAGAAGGAGAACAAAGAATCCAAATGGCGGCAAACGGGTGGTCCGGAGGAGAAGACGTACAATTGTTGGAAAGTAAATAAGAAGAAATAAATTAGTTAGTTAGTCTTCTTTAAAAAAAAAGTTAGTTAGTAATACAATAAACATTAACAAAACTTCATCAGTAATTACAAAAAATAAAAAATCTAAAATATCGACCATATAATAATGATATCTTCAAACATTGATTTATTTTATTTTTTTGATAGTGGTAAAATCCGATGTGTATATCGTTACCTTAATACAGAAAGGTCCTAAGTCATATTTTCATTCGAAATGCAACTTCTTAAAAACGTTGGAGCATTACTCACTGAGCGTTTAATAGAAGAAATTTGATATTTTGTAATGTATCACAACTGATGCGATAGAACTGAGGTGACTGTACTTCATTATACTCCAAGCACCTGTTAGTTTAAGGACTGAATTCATGTTGAGCCTTACCATAGTAGACCGGTTAAATAATGATCAACAATCATAATGATTATTAATTAAAGCATGTTTTTTTAAGTAGCAGTTTAATGATTAAGTACCAACAATTACACATTTTTAATGATTAATAATTAATTACCTTCAAACAGAAAAATTAACCAATTAATTAATTAATTGTAATCGCATGATTGTTTTGTTATATTTGATTATTTTCAATTATTTTTTATTTTTTTTTTATGGCAATTAATCATAATTTTTTTTGATTATTTTTAATTATAATGAACTATTAATTGCTGGGTTATGTAAGAAAATAAAATTAAAAAATAATGATTACCATGGTTAGGATTTTAAGGCACTAAAAACTTGAAGAAAGGAACAAATGAGCTTTGAAAAAAAGGCAAAAAAGGTATTTGTTTTTTAATTTTGTTATAAACATACCTTTATGTACATACAGTGTGCATGTCGAATTAAATCTGTAAAAAATACATACAGTGTTAAAAAAGTTATAGCCGAACCACTTTTTGCCAAGTTTTAACATATTATTTTTGTTGTTATCTAATTTTGGTTATTTTTTATTTTTTTAAATATAGTTCATTCTTTAACAAAACCCGTGTAAATCCAAGTTTCCAACTTTGTTTTTTTTTTTTTTTGAATATTAAAAAATCTCAACCATTTGAAACCTGTACTTTATTCTGCTAGCATTCAATAGGATACAAAACTGCATACTCAGAATCTTTCTAGGAAATCCAATTAAAAAGCTCAAATTTTTTACTTGTTGATTTTGTTTTTTTTTAATATTGTACAAAATTTTAACGCAGTCGTTTGATTGGTACATTTGTATAAAATTGTAAATTTTTATATTGGGCTATTGGTACAAAAAAAAATTAGAAATTAGAATTTTTTTTTGTAGTCACAAGATTGGTACATACAGCGATCTTCAAATCGACTTGCACGAAATTTTGGGTAAATGCCCAATCATGTGACAGTGCCTTTAAACTTTTATTTACACGGATGTTGTTAAAGAACTTTTATAAAAAACTAACCAAAACTAAAAATAATATTTTAAAACTTAGGAAAATTTGTTGCGGCTATAATTTTTCCGACCACTGTACATAAGTTGACTATGATGCTCGGCTGTGCTATCATAGCAGCACAACGCCACTAAGTGCATTTTAAAATTTTCAGGCAATAGTCTCATGCGATTATCGCGAAACATTAATTTGAAGGAACTAAAGCTCATCTCCACATCTACAGATATTCAATTCCACTTCAAAGCTCGTTCGATTCATCGTTTTTTAACAATATGGTTTACTTTTATTCCCCACCAGTCAAAAGTATGTTTTCCACCAATTTTTATAGACGTGGATTTTCACGGAATTAAAACAAGCGGCCTTAGGCTTTTTAAATATTCGCAAATATTTAACTTACAAACAAAATAAGGGTACGAATTTCAAACCTAATTTACAAGAAACTCACCATAAAAGGCGAATTCATATAACGTGGTAGTTGCAGCATAAAACACTACACTAACAAATTGTAACCAATCTAATTTCGCCGGTAACACCACCTTCATATAAGGTGCTCACTACGTAAGGTGAAGACGAACAAGCCATCAGCTGAAGGAACGAATTCCAGTGTTGTAAAATATAAAATTATGAAAGTGAAGAGATAGATATTAAAAAGGCAAAACATACAGAAAAGGGCAATGTAATCAAAAACAGCGCAATTAAAATTGATATTTTTATTCAAGGAAGACATGAAACGTGTGATTCTGAATTGTTGAAAGTTACGACAAATAGGCAAATGCCTCGAAATCTTAACCCTGATGATTACTAATCGTAATGGAAATTTAACAGCTCTCTACCACAGACATTTCAATTAGACAAAGGCCAGTTAAGTAGGGCTTGCGTCAGTATCGAGTGATGTGCTTTGTTTTTGCCCTTAGATTACATATGATCTACGCGTGACCAAAAATACTTATAGGTATCTTGCATTTCAAATATTTTACCGGGAGCAGAATTTCTTTTAACATGGCAAAAAGTCCTCTTAATAACCTAGCCATTGGGCTATAGCGGTTGCTTTGCTTGCTCACTCGTTTGCATTGTTTATTTTTAGGCTTTTTGACCAGCGTTGTCATCGAAACTTCCCTTGAACTGAATTAATTTTGGGAATTAACTCTACGACTCAATCCGATTAACTGCATTTAATTCCCGACATAATTCCGAAATAACGAGTTTATCTTGATCAACGCTGTCATTTGTCTATGTTTTTCGCCAGCAGCAATTAGACGCTCTCTAGCTAGTAGTATCTATAGCTGGCTGAATTTATTATACAGGGTAACTCAATAAAAGCATTTCTTTATCTACATAAAACGAAGCTAGATCCCTTACTGCGTTTGCCTTTGATTTTTCTTTACTTCTGTCTTTATTTGTGTTTATTAAGGATTTTTCGGAACTTGGCCTTTCCACAAAAGGTTGAATACATTAACTAAATCTTATTTTTGAGTAGACAAGCCACTTATGTGCCAAGTGTGGAGAATCTTTTGCGCTCACTTCTTCTATGTATTTCCCATGTACTCGGGCGCATGTGCATGTATATAAGGGTGGTCCAAAAAAATAATAAAAATTTAAATGTTAAGCTCTCACTGCGAGGGGTTTTCCGCAAGACAACAAAGAATACCAGTATTTTCCTGTTAAAAAATATATATATTTAGAACTGCCACAAAGCCCGTGAAGTTTTCCATGGATTTATATGGGGAAAAAGACTTTTTCGTATAGATGATATAAAATTTTTGAAAATTAATAATTTTCGACCGGACTGCTATGTTTATCTTCAGGAGACTACAGTGATAATACCCTTTTGTTTATTTTACCATTTTTTCATACTAGCGTTTTTTTGTGGGTCCACCCTATTGCATTTTTTGCGGTTTATGGAGGGCTTATAAAACATAATTGTTATTAGAAAATGGTTAAATAATCAATTAGGTATTTTTATTGGAAGACTCCTAAAGAAGAAGAAACAATTTTCCGATCGAAATATATCTATTTTCAAGAATGCTATACCACTTCTATGAAAAGGCGTTTTCCCCCATATAAATACATAGAAAATTTCATGGGCTTTGAGGCAGTTCTAAATTTATTTTTTTTAAACAAAAAATACGGGTAATCTTTTTTTCAATTTAGAAAAATCCTAGGGGGTGAAAGTTTAACATCTTTAACATATTAAACTTTCTCCCCCGCATACATTTTTGGACCACCCTAATGCGCGTACATATATACATACAAACAAACATAAGTTCTTGTCAGTTTTCAAATTTGTTGTGAAAGCAGCCGCTTTTGTTTACGTTTGACTTCTGAGAGAGTACTACTACACATTTTGCCGCACAACAACAAAAATTACAAGATAAACAACCCCAGAGAATGTTGAAAATAACTCAGATCAGCTGTTCATTTGAGAAATCGACTCTTGGGGTGTGATTATTGATTTTGCTGCAAGTTGCATATTAAAAAGCTCACCACAGCAAAAAAAAGAGGACAAAGAAAGGTAAGAGAAACACATCCCTCGAAATGGTTTCAGTGTTCGCGTTTCACTTGCCCGTAGCGGATGTCTGTGCCATGAAGTGTACCGCCGGAGGCTAACAGATAAATATGTACAACAGTATCCAATATTTTCCAATCAAAATCATGAATATTTAATTATTTGACCAATGCATATGTAGTGCATAAGTGTTACAGACTTGTGAAGTTTGTATGATTTTGAAGTAAAAAAAGTGTTTAGTGTTTTGAATTCGAATACTTGGCCTTGCTGCAGTGAATTTCTTTTTTTTTTTTCTTCGGCTGAAGCCTTTGAAAAGTCTACATACGTATCATCATTAAAATGGATATACCATTGTCGATGTTGTTGTTGCTCTGTCTGGTATTTACCATTATAGGAGCGGCTCTGATACTTTTGCTGCAATATTACCTTTATTTGCGATTTTCCATACTTCCTGAGGAGAGTGCCGAACAAAAGGATATCAACACAAAGTATTCATTGCCTGCGGTAAGTAGCGCAAAGTAAATGATGAAGAAACAAAAAATTCACACATTTCCTGTTCGAATGACAAAGGATATTTATACATGTGTGTATGTGTGTGTGTGCTTCTTATACATATGTACATTTTCATTGTTACAACTCGCAGACAATTCAGCAGACAGCACGCGCCATAAATCTATTGCCACCTACCGTAACGCCAGCCGGACACACACATACGGGTACACTTGGTGCGACAGATGCAGCGCCTTTAATGTCAATTAATTTTGTGATGCAATTCCTGTTTCATGAATTGAAAAATTCCAGTCGCGTGCGCAAGTGGTTCTATCGTAAGCTATCGCTGGAACTCGATGAGCTGTTGGCGAAAACAACGACTGGCAAATTATTCGATAAGCTGACGGTGAGTTGGCAAATGTCAAATCTGTTCATACATATGGATATATATATACATATAGTAGGGGTAGTAACTAAAAGTTTTAAATTTGTTCATACATGTATACATACATACATTAGATTGTATCGGTCAACACGCGAATGAACAACATTTAATTATACCCCGCCTAGTTTAAAGTCGTTATATTCGGCATAACAAATCGAAAGCCTCTAAGATAAATCAAAGTGGTGAAAATGCTTTTCTACCTCAAAAATTGTATTTTTACAAATCATTTATTTTTACATTTTATATAGCGACCGACCCATTCTAATGTGCGACCAAATTTACGCCACGTCTACTCTTTTCTTAAGATGCGAAGTTTCGCTGGTTGTAAATACTAAATTTTGATAGATCTTTCTGCACTCGGTCTTTCCGTTATGTCCGTGAATTCCCCAACCAACATCTCGTTAAGCTTCGAATAGCTTTAAAATGTTATTTCCAATTTTATAAGTAGAAGAAAATGTTTAAATTAACGACATGTTCCATAGTCTTATCAGTTTATAATCGATTCCAAACTAAGGCAAATCAGCTCTTGCGGCTCTTTATATTGGGAGCCGGTGTTCATGGAACACTTTTATTTCCTGAGCAAGTTTGTTTTACTTCCAAACAGCAAGGGGCCGATGTATTCAAATTTTGATTCTGGATGAAAATTTCTCTATGGGGATTCCAACTACGGAGAGTTCGATTGGAGGTATTATACAGGGAACAAAAATAACTGTTATCTCGAATTTACAAATTTACGAGCTTCATTCAGGTGATCGTAGGCATTTTCATAGTTTGCCATTCTCTTTCTATTCGTTCACTGATAGGGTTAAATCTGCGAACAAGATTTCGCATATCTTCACCGAACTATAAATCCCTAATGAAACTTTGTGGTCTTACATGGCATCTGTATGTCGTGTATTCGGCTGATAACTTGGCCATCGCATTTTTATACCCTCCGATGAATTCTGATATGTAGTTATTTTTTCCACTTTAGATTAAAGAACTGGAACTAGGTGACCAATTTCCTGAGATTCGAACTTTACGTGTACATAATGTGGAATTAGACGATGCCGGTGATCGTATTGAAAATCTCGATCTTCTGCTTGAGATTCATTACACCGGCAATTTTCGCACTTCCATCGATGCTGATATGGTGCTGGGCAAAAAGGGATCACTCACTTTAATNAGTTTTCTCGGTGATCCAGAATTGGATTTAGCTGTCGAGTCCAAGTATCAAGGCCGTCAAATGCAATCAAATATAACCAGCCTAATCTCCAATCAGATACGAAAGGCTGTACGCCGCAAACACACGCTCCCCAATTATAAACTACGCTACAAGCCATTCTTCCACAAAACTCCCGAAGAAGACCCTGGTGATGGTGACATACAACCAAACGGCACGTTGGAGGTTAAGGTGTCGGAAATATCGCGACTTATGTGCTCAGAAGCGGGAACTGATATTTACTGTACTTTGACTTTGGCCTCGCTGGCATTTGTGGAGATACGCCAGAAAGATAATCGCAATGTGGTTGTTTCAATGGATGTGGAAATACATAAAGCTAAAAATCAGCAGATTGGCATACTTTTTAGACAAATACCTGAGATAGGCGTCGAAATTGAAGCAGTGCTACCCAACACGCCCGCTTGCAAGTCGAATTTGCGCCCATGCGACATGTTGATCGCCATCGAAGGCAAGCGTGTACAGACTATCCAGCAAGTGGCGAAAGTTTTCAAGGGTTTACAGGCCTCAGCCTTCAGGCTGCGCATCGAGCGCAT